CCAGGCTTAGCCTCAGTGCCAGGATGATGGGTACCTGGGCACCACAAGCGGGGGGGCAGCTGGCCCCAGATGCTCCACACCCCTCTGATGCCACGTCCTGGGCAGGCGCAGCCTTCGGGCGGCTGGTTGGGGAGAGCATGGCAGCCTGGTTCCCAGATGGCATCCACGCCGACAGCAACACCTACCGCATTGTGCCCGGGGGCTACGCCGTGGTAGGTAAGCGCCAGGGCTGTGCTGGGGCAGGGGCCGCCGTGCAGCTGTGCTGGGCTCGGGGGACAGCAGGGTGCCAGGGCTGGGAGCAGGCCTGGGCTTTGGTACAGCAGCCCCTGGCATCCCTGGGCGCGGTTGGAGCAGGGGCTGAGGCAGCCCCGGGTGGGGGCCGAGGCAGGGCCAGTCTCACGGGCACCGTCCCCCACGCAGGGGCGGCTGCGCTCTCGGGGGCCGTCACCCACACGGTGTCGACAGCCGTGATCGTGTTCGAGTTGACGGGGCAGATCTCGCACATCCTGCCCGTCATGATCGCCGTCATCCTGGCCAACGCCGTGGCCCAGAGCCTGCAGCCCTCGCTCTACGACAGCATCATCCGCATCAAGAAGCTGCCCTACCTGCCCGAGCTGGGCTGGGGTCACCACGAGTGAGTGTCCCTGCTCCGGACCCCCACCCCCAGCTTGGGCCACTGGTGCCCCCCAGCCCAGGCAGCTCCCCAGCGGGGTCCCGTCCCTCCCATGCCCGCCCCGCACTGAGGCCCCACTCCCCGCAGGAAGTACAATGTGCGGGTGGAGGACATCATGGTGCGGGACGTGCAGTACGTCACCCTCAACTGCAAGTACCGCGACCTGCAGGATGTGCTGCACAGCACCAAGCTGAAGAGCCTGCCGCTGGTCGAGTCAGCTGGTGAGACCCCCCCCACACCCCCCGGGGGTCCCCGACCTGCCACAGCCCATCTTGCTGGGGTTGTCCCTTACCCACCTGTTCCCCCCAGCTCAGCTGTGAGCCCCACCTGCCTCTGTGGCCCCGTCACTCTCCCTGGCAAGAGCCAGGCGCTGGGATCCCCCAGGCCCTCACCCAGCTCTGGGCATGGGTGCGCAATCGCAGCCAGAGATTTGCCAGCTGCCATTCTCTAGGTGCTGAGCATGGGCCGTCCTGGGGCTGTGGGAGGAGAAACAAGCACCTTCCCAGGGCCACAGCACTGCTGGCAAGGCAGTGCCCACTGTTCCCAGCTTCCCTGGTGCCCTGAGGCCTGCCAGCGAGTCAAAAAGAGCCCAGGAGTCCTAGCACCCCATGCAGCCCCCATGGCTCACCCCTTCCCCATGGCTCCTGCAGGTCTCCTGCCCACCCAGCCACAGCTTCCTCCATGCCCAGGGACCCCCGTGGGGGCCATGGGCTTCCTACCTGCCCGGCTAGCATTGGGCCTGTCTCCGCAGAGTCCATGATCCTGCTGGGCTCCATCGAGCGGGCCCAGGTGGTGGCACTGCTGAGCAACCAGCTGAGCCCAGCACGGCGCTGGCAGCAGGCGCAGGACCGGGCACAGGCTTCAGCCCCGCGGAAGGGGCCCAGCGAAAAGCTGCAGGATGGGGGCGAGGAAGAGGGCAGCGCCGCTGACACAGGCGTGCACTTCCAGGTGAGACGCCCCAGCCACCGGCCCTTTAGATGTGGGTCCCCAAAGTGGGGGAGCTGGTAAGGGGGGTGTCCCAAAGCTGGTCCCTCCAGGGCCCTCGGCTGGCTGGTGAGCCCCCATGATGGGGCCCTGGCCCGTGCCCCCTTGAAGAGGCCTGGGGGGAGGGACCCACTGCCTGGCCAGGTCGGCTGGTGCTGCGGTGCCCTGGGCACGTGCCCACCGGTGACACTGTCCCCTTGCCACTCAGATCAGCACAGAGGAGTCCTCCTTTACCCCGTCCCACGGAGACACCCGCAAGCCCCTGAAGCCAGCGCTCAAGCGAGTGCCCAGCAGCTTGGCCGAGAGCCCCACAGGTGAGTGACCCCCACTGTGCCCCCAGCACCCCATGGGCATGGCGCCCGGTCAGCTCACCCTGATGCTCCCTCTGCGTGTGTGTGGGCAGCTGGCAGCACGGACACCTCAGGCATCGCCCTCAAGAGCCTCTTCTGTGCCAATGCCACCACGGAGCCTCCTGAGGTGAGCCCCCTCCACGTGCCTCCCCTGCCCCCTGCCCCCATCCTGGCTGAGTCTGCAGACAGCACCCCCCAGCCCACACGATGCCACCCCGGCTGTCCACACTGCAGGGGATGCCTGGCTGTGCCAGGGGTGCCAGTCCCCAGGCGGTGCCCAATGGAGCCATGCCAAGCCTTGGCACTGCCATCTCCCATAATGCACCTGTGTTCTCTCCTGTCTGTCTCCCCGCTAAGGAGGCAGAGAGATCAGCAGGGTCTGAAAAGCGCAAGTCGAAGCGCGTCCGCATTTCCGTGGTGGTAAGTGCGTGCCAGGCCTAAGCCAGTCCCAGACTCGGCTCCCTCATCTCAGCCAATCACGGACCAAACCCCCTCTCATCTCAACCGATCACAGATCAGACCCCCCATGTCTCAGCCAATCATGGACTAGCCATTCCTTGTCTTAGCCAATCACAGACCAGACCCCCCATCTTGTCTCAGCAATCATGATCCAGGCTCCTCCTACCCCGTGCTGTGCTGAGGGCCCTTGCAGAGCCTCTCCCGTGGACTGCTCCTCTGGCAGTGGGCAGGGCCTGCAGTTTTGCACCCCACTTACAGGTGGGAAAACTGAGGCACAATGCCAGGCAAGGACTGCCTGCCACCAGGCCATGGGAAGAAGCTAAGGGGCAGTGAGCACCCCACTCCCCGCAGGAGCCAGCCTGAGCCCCGGGGCCCTCCGCACAGCTCAGTCTCTGATCAGACCCTGCCGTCCTCCCCGCTCCTCCAATTGGAGCTGTCAACCCCTGCTTCTGACCAGCCAATCCTGTGATGATCCCCTCGCAGTAGTCAATCAGAGATCAACACGCCTCCACCCCGCTAATCTCATCCCCAGTGAAACGGGAGAGGTTGCCGTGCAGGGGGGTCCCACCGGGGCCACCTGGGAGGAGCCAGGGCAAATGGGCTGGGGGAGGTGAGGGACTTTGGCTTGAAGTGCTGAAGACCCCTGCCCAGGGCCAAGCGCCCCCATGGCACCAGGCCTGGGCAGCTCCAGAGGGGCCCACAGAGCAGGGGTAGCCCGTTTCCCCCATGGGGCAGGGCAGGGAGTGGCTCTACGGTCAGCCCAGCCGCCTGGAGAAAGGGGCAGGAGTGGGTGCAGGGAGCAGAGAGCAGGCAGGGGCATGCTGCTGGCTCCTGTGGGCACAGGGCAGGAGTACCAGCCCAGGGCATGGCAAGAAAAAGGGGGATCTGGTGCTCAGCTCTGAGCCGCAGGGCTGGAAGAGAGCCCTGGGATCCCTTGGTTGGTGCCCACATGGGCACACACTCCCACATGCACATCTCCCTACCGGCCTGGCACTCTCCAGATGCCTCTTCTGTGGCTGGGAGCCCCCCCGGCTCCTGGTGCCCATGCCCCTCCTCATCCCCTTGCCCTCTTCTCTTGCAGGATGAGTACCAGCCAGGCGACGAGATGAACCCGTCGGAGGTGAGCAGGCACCGAGAACTGCAGTGGGGCTGGGCCTGGCACGGCATGCGCCCAGCCCTGACCTGGGGTCTCCTCTGAGAGCTCCCCTCGGGCACAGCTTACCCCAGGTCCTGCCGGCTGCCTGGGCACGGTTAACCCTGGGTGAATTACTCTGGCAGTCAGGCTCTGTGTCTGCTCCCAGGGCTGGCAGCCGTGCCCGCGGGCAGCCCCAGTCCATGGTGCTCACGGCCTCTCTGCCCCCCAGATCAGGGAGTGGGAGGAGCAGCAGCTGGAGCAGCTGGTGAACTTCAACAACAGCAAGATTGACCCGGCCCCCTTCCAGCTGGTGGAGCGCACCTCCCTGCACAAGGTAGGGCCCTGCGGAGCGGGCATGGGCCACGCACCCAGAGCCACGGGGCTGCCCTGCAGCCCATGGCCCCAGCCAGCCCCACTTGCCCCGGCCCCAGAAGCCAGTGCTGGGCTCGGAGCCTGGCTATCCAGTCTCCCCTGGGATTCGCCTAGACCCCGGGGCCCTCCTTGCCTCGGGCCACGCGCAGGGCTGGAGAGCATTTGCCTCCATGGGAGACTTGGCTGGGTGCCTGCCCCACAGCCCCATGGCCTGGCTGGGTCCCGACTACACCCCAACCCCGCTGCCCCGTGCCCCAGCTGAGGCCTCATCTCTCACAGACTCACACCATCTTCTCGCTCCTGGGTGTGGACCACGCGTACGTCACCAGCATCGGGCGCCTCATTGGCATGGTGTCCCTCAAAGAGGTGAGCTGGCCTGGGGGCCTCTCCTGGCCACTGTGGGGTGGGGGACAACTCACCTGGGGGTACTGGGTGCCCTGGGGCAAACCACAGCCCCTTGCACCCCCAGGGGTCATCAGCACACTTCCCCCACCAGGGCTGGAGAGCACAATGCCCCAGGGAGGGGATGGAGGGGCTCTACCTGCCCTATGCACCTGGCAAGGGCCGGAGGGAAGGCAGGGTGCCCCATACCCCCACCCCTGACATGCCCATGTGTCCCCAGCTGCGCAAGGCCATCGAGGGTTCGGTCACAGCCAAAGGCGTGAAGGTCCGCCCGCCCCTGGCCAGCTTCCGGGACAGCACAACCAGCAGCAGTGAGCCCGAGACCACCAGCATCCACCAGCTGTGGGACCGGCGCCAGCGCCATGCCCTGCCCCGCGAGTCCAGCCCCTCCGAGACCGACGACAAGTGCCAGTGAGAAGAGCGCCCTTGTCCCCTGCGGCCGCACTGCTGCTCGCCACTGCCGCAGGGCGGCCTCTCGCCAGGCTGGGGGGCAGGGCAGAGCCACAGGAAGCCACTGCCACCCTTGCGCACCCGCTGCTAGAGGAGGAGCTGCGTGGACCCGGCTCCAGGGCCTGGCTGCGGGGGGCAGGGGAGAAGGGCCCTGCCTGGGCATCCAGCCCAGTCCACTCTGCAGGGGCATCTCGTCCACAGCCAGACCTGGATTCTCCCCACCCTCCCTGCTCACCCGGCCCCCCGCCACCCTCTGCCCCAGCCCAGCCCTGGGCACCCCCAGCCTCAATGGTGCCCTTCACACCACCCCCCAGCTCTGCCCCCAATGCCCTCCCTCCAGCTCCATCCTACTCAATCGCCAGGCAATCACGGCCCTGCCCACACACCCATGGACGATGCGTGGCAGGCCTGGTGGCATGGGGGAGGGGCAGCTGGGCCCCCCTCTCCAGCTGCTCTGAGCCCCCATCCAGGGGTGCTCTCATCCCTCCTCCCCCTGCAGCGCCCAGCATGAGGTCCCAGCGGGTCCATGTCCGGGTCTGCCTGGGCCCTGCCAGTACCAGGATGTAAATACAGAGATTTTTATATTAATTTAATAAAAGGACTTTATAACTAGAGTGAGGAGATACCCCCTGGCTGCATACCCAAGCAGCAGGGGGGCCATGGGCACCATGCCACCCTGCAGCTGGGGGCTGCACATGCACCAGACCACTGTGGGGCTGAAGGTGGGGCAAAGCTCGTGCCCCTCCATTTGCAGCCTCCACCCCAGCACTGATGCCGGGCTGGACCCACCCCATCGGGAGTTTTACCATCGGATCCGTCCCCACACCCCATCAGGGGTGCGGAGTCCACGTACACTGCCATCCGCCAGCCGCAGGCAGCCCAAAGTGACTAGTGGTCACCACCGTGTAAGTTGAAGACATCAAATAGTCCCAGCACTGATGCAGGGCTCCAGCCACTGCCTGTCCTCCCCCCACCACGGGATGTGACTCAGCCCCAGGCAGGACCGCACTGGCACACAGACCCCCGCCACCTGCGCTGGCCTGGGCAGGTGCGTGCACACACACAAACACACTTGCACGCATGTATGTGCATACGCACCCCTGCAGCTCAGCAGCTGGGCTTTGCGGGATGGGGGAAGGTGCCCAGGCAGTGGTTTCCCTCATTCCCAGCCCCCTGCACATGTAGCCTTGGCCCCCCTCCCAGTTCAGTCAGCCCTGCCTGTCCCCCAGGCTGAGCGCTTGGGCCAGCTGCTATCTCCACAGAGGGCGCTGGGCCCTGTCCCAGCTGCCCGTGCAGTGCCCCCACCCAACAACTCCTAGCAGCAGCCCCTGCCCTCCCCTGTTCATCACACATGGCACTGAGAACAGCCTTTATTAATGACTGTGGCACAGCAGGCAGCACGCAGACCCAGGAGTCTGGGCCGCGGAGATGCTCCCCTGGCCCAGAGACCCCTCCCTAACCAGCATGCACCAGTCCTCCCTGAGCCGTGGTGCCCAAGGCCCAGCGCATACTGGGATGTGGCTGGTGGTTGCCACCCCGGCACTCAGAACTGGAGCTCGCTGCGGTACAGGGGCGGCAGGTCCCAGCCAGCTCGGCGCGTGGCGGTGATGACCAGGGTGCCGGCATCTGTGAGGGAGCAGCTGATGGACAGCGGGTCTATGTCCTCCGGCAGCTGGCACTTGTGGGTGAACGTGTTGGAGACAGTGCCATCCTCTGCCACCTGCAGGGACATGAAGGACCTCACCTCCGTGAGAAAGCAGGGGGCACTGCGGAGGGAGGGAGCAAGAGTCCTGAATGGAGGGGAAGGAGTGGGGTCCCTGTCGTCCCACTGCCCCGCTCACCTTCTCAGCTCGGATGACGACCTGGCAGTTGGATGTGATCACCACGACGTCCTGCGGCTCGAACTGGCTCACGTCGGCCGTCACCTGGTAGCAGTCGCCAGCCGTGTGCACACTGCTGCCGAGGCCAAGGGGGCGCAGGCCTGCAGGGGGCCCTGGGCAGAGGGTAGTGGGCAGACAGGGATGCAGCCCACTGGAGTACAGGGCTGCCGCAAGATGCCCTAGCTGCTGGGGTTTGCCAGGCCTTGTGTAGTGGAGGGGGGGGTCATGGGGTGCAGTGAGGCTCCTAAATGTGGTGGAGAATCATGGGAGCAGTGAGGGTGGTCACTGTATACAGCGGCATGCAGTGGAGTGAATAGATGGAGAGGAGATCCAAGGAGTGCAATGGAGCGGGGCGGTTACTAGGTGCAGTGAAGATCCAGGGGTTTCAGTGGGGGGTCACTGGGTGCAGTGAGGATGCAGTGGAGATTCAGAGGTGTGGTGCAGTCACTGGCTGCAAGTTAAGTAGAGTAGACATCCAAGTGGACAGTGAGGCTGGGGCGGG